TAAAAGTGAGCAAGCTGAATAAACGTCGTGTTTATTCTGAGTAACGGTTACTGTCAGAACTTTTCTTAATGCCCGGCAGGTTGTCATCACTGAATCTTGCAGAAGATGATTCAATTCTGTGTTTCTTTTTTGCCATGCTCTCAAGAAAGTCATCTGTAAGACACAGACACCTACGCAAGTCAGTTTGACGAGGTGCATTTAAAATCTTATGGAATAGGTCATCAGTTTAACCTAAATGGGTGGGGTGGTGATGGTGCAATGGATAAGATGCCTGTGAATGTCATGCCTTTGGTGTCAGAGACCTGAGTTCAACCCCACTGTGACCGATCCACCATTGTGCCCCTGAGCAAGACACTTAACCCCTTGTTGCTCCAGAGGCGTGTGACCTCTGACATGTATAGCAGCTGTAAGTTGCTTTGGATAAAAGCGTCAGCTAAATGAATAAATGTAAATGCTTTTAATGGACCAATTCTTTCTCAAATTAAGCGAAACTCTGGAACAACCTCACCTGAAGGCTCTGGTGTTAGCTGATGCCTGTAAGAAGTCACAGGAATGTGATTTAAAACTTTTGACATGTAACGCTAGAGATTTCTAGTAAGCAGTCATTTCAGCAGATACGGCAATGCATTTCACAGATTAAAGCAGAACAACGGAAGGCAATGGTTATGTACACAGTGCAGGCTGACTACAACAGCACCTCATTATTACCAAAAGGTTGTGTTTAACGTTTCTGGGCTAGTAGTCCCAAGTGCAGGGCTAAGAGAGGGAGGAGACTGGACTTAGATAAAAGAGGAACAGTTAGCGCAGGGTTGAAGGGACCTGAAGCTGAGCCGGGGAAGAGCCAGGCAGACTGGGAGACTGCAGAGCAGGAGGGAACCGTAGAACAGAGGTGAGAAGCTGCCCAGCAAGCAATGTTACCTTTAACAGACGTCTAGGCTGAAACAGGGCAGAATTTGGGCTGTCAATAAAAGTTAACTACAGCCAAAGAATAGACTGGTCATCACTCAGACAGCTTTAGAAGGAATTCACGTAAACCTCTAATAGACAACAGAATAACGGCTAAAGGATTCTTTTTACTCAAATATAACATAAATGGCAACCCATCCAAACAAATGCAATATAAAGATTTTATTAAGAAAAAGGATTTCAGCGTAAGCAACTTAAGATAAAACAACAGGATGAAATTATAAAGGAAAATATTTTTTTATATATATAATTATAAATAAATACAAACGATTTTAACAACTTACGGTAATAAATGTAAATATGGTGTCATATGATTTGAAATGATAACATACATCATATTTCAAATTATCATTCTAATGAGGGTCAAAATTGTTTTTTCCCCCATTTTTTTCCTTCTTAATTTAAAGTCCTTATTTATTACTGAGCCATTTATCTTCATGGAAAATACAAAGATACTTTAACAGGACACACGTTTTAGGCCCCTTGTTGCACTGGGCTATTGGGAAAGCTGCTTTTATTCTTTTGGGAAAGCGATGTGCTGTAAGTGTTCTGTTCTGTATATTTATTGTTGTGCTTTGTTGACTGTATCAGAATCAGTTTTATTTGCCAGGTAAGTGTTCACATAGAGGAATTTATTATTATATAAATGTCAGAATCTACAAGTTTTAACTTGTAGATTTGTGAATATTAGTTTCTCTAAATCTGCCACATTAATCATGGAAATTCTTTCCCTCGCTCCTCTTGCTCCGATTGTTTTTATTACAATGGACATAATGCGCAGTTGTACCTTTACATCTTAATGATATTACACATAAATGAAGAGTCTGTAAAATACACATGACATTTGGCGTAAAACAAGAACACTGAAGATAATGGGATGCCAACAAACTGTCTTTAATCACATCCTGAGAGAGAGAGAGAGAGAGAGAGAGAGAGAGAGAGAGAGATTATTTTTAATGTCCTTTTTTTTATTTCATTTTTTTACACACAACACAAACAGGCAATTAGCTTTATTTAATTAAATCTTTTGTAATTTCTTTGTAGCTTTGGCAAACCAATGGCAAGAGCCTTTCTAAATGTCGTTGAGTGTTTTGATCTTGGACAGTGTGTATCTGGCCCAACGCAGGAACGTGGTCACACTCTCGATCTGGTTTTAAGAGAAAAAAGCATCACTTCAAGATTAGAAACAGTTAAGCTTAACCCTTCCACTGCTGCTCAATTTTCCTCTGTTTTTTTTATATAAATGGTGTCTCTCTCTGTCCAAATACAACTGTTGAAGATCTGTGTGTTAGTTTTAATGCTGCTTGTCAAGCACACTATAGCCACTGTAAAAACCAGATTGTCTAAACCGAGAACTGATCCCTGGCTGAACGATGTCACTCGCGCGTGTAGAAGGGCGAAAAGAATGTTGGAAGAGGGATAAAATCCAAGTGTCATTTCAGTTACTTAGAGAGAGATGGTGTTCCTATCAAAAAATTTATATTATTAAATTAAAACTAAAATAATTAAAGATTACTTTTCTAAAATTCTAAAGTTCTTTTTAATACCTTCAAAACTATTCTTAATGTCCCACAACTTCAGTGGTTGGGGAATCCAACAAATGTTTGAGGAGTTCCTTCATTTTTTTTATCCGTGAGGTGGAGACCACCTTTGAACGACCATGGCATTTCTGTAACTAGTTCTACTGTTTTGAATCAGTTTCAGCCTGTTAGTTTGCCTGTTTTAGAACAAATTATTGGTCAAATGAAGATCACTGGGTCGCCCAATGATGTGATTCCCCCTCGTCTTTTTAAAGAGGTTGTTTCTACAGTGGCCTGCATACTTGATATTGTTAATGTCAGTCTAATTACTGGAGTCGTGCCTATGAGTTTTAAACATGCAGCTGTTCAACCCTTGTTAAAGAAACCTGTTCTGGACCAACTTGAGCTCTCAAATTATTGGCCCATTTATTTGCAGCTGAGCACATTTTTAAATGACAATTGTATAACTTAAATTTTTCAGTCAGGGTTTAAGTCAGCCCACAGTACTGAGACAGCTCTGCTGAGGGTTCTCAATAACATTTTTTTGGCTTCAGACTCTGGTGATACTTTTGCTCTCTGCTTCCTCAAGAGTCTGTCCTTGGGCCGTTACTTTTTTCAATATACTTACTGCCTCTTGGGTCAATCCTCAGAAGATACAATGTATTGTTCCATCTATATGCTGTTGACTGTCAAATTTATGTGCTGCTAAGTCAGTCATAAACCCTTTTAGAGTGTCTGAATGAAGTGAAAGCATGGATGGCTATGAATTTTTTGTATTTAAATGAGAGTAAAACTGAGCTCATGTTACTTACTCCGACTGACTCAGCTGCTGCGGGTCCTGTTGATCTGGGTTGGCTAACCCGAGAAATTAGCTCTGTGGTCACAAATCTGGGAGTCAAGTTGGATGGTCGTTTAAAACTTGATGCCCAGATTGGTGCAGTGGTGAAAACCACTTTTTTCCAGCTGAGGCAACTGGCCAAGGTAAAACCGTTTTTATCTCGACATGACTTTGAGATTTTAATCCATGCTTTTATCACCACTCGTTTAGATTATTGTAATGCACTCTATAGTGGTCATAGCAAATCACATATGGCACGATTATTATTATATTTCACCCATTCTCCAATCCTTACACTGGCTTCCAGTGCACTTTCGTACCGATTTTAAAATTCTTTTATTTGTTTTTAATTGCGTGCATGGCTTGGCCCCCCAGTATTTGTCTGATCTGTTTGTGCCCTACAGTCCATCTCGTTCGCTCCGATCGGCTGATCAGGCACTGCTGGTAGTCCCCAAATCTAAATGTAAATCTAGAGGTGACGTTTGCTGTGGCAGCTCCGAGACTCTGGAATGAGCTGCCTCTACATATTAGACTTACTGAGTCATTTAAATCTCGTCTCAAAACTCATTTATTTTCCTTGGCTTTTAATACAGTTTGAGGGTTGTCCTTTCAGTTTTGTATTATTGTATTTATTTTTTGTGATTTATTGTTTAATTCATTTTCTTTGTTGTGCCTTTATTGTATGTTGTTATTTATTTGTGGTCAACAGTGTTGTTGAAAGGTGCTATATAAATAAAGGTGGATTGGATTGGATTAGTTTTGGCAATAGTTTGACAATAAAGCTGAACTGAATTGAGGGAGAGAGATAGAAAGAGGGGGGGCAGCCTACACAATATCCACACAGAGGTACAGACAGTGAAGGTGATGTTGCTACAGACTAAATGAAAAATGGTACAGATATTTATAATAGTGTTAATGGTAACCATCGTAATGTTAATGATTATAATAACAATAATAACAATAAGACTAGCAACAATAGTCGTTGCAGCAGAGGGTGTCGAGCAGGAACACGGGGGCAGCAGGTGACCCGCAACCACAGATCCAGACTCCACAGCTCCAGAGCCAGAAAACCTGCAGGAAGTGATAGGAGGAGAGAGGAGAGGGACGAGAAAGCACAAGACTACCAGAAAGGGGAGAAGTTGTGTTAGTAACATGCAATAATGGGATGAGGTTGCATACAGAGGGAGAGAAAGTAGAGGAGAGAGGAGCTCAGTGCATCATAGGAAATCCCCCGGCAGTCTAGGCCTATAGCAGCATAACTAAGGGACGGTTCAGTATCTTTAGCATACAGGTTTGCCTCATTGTCTAAATAATTCAACACAGAGCTCCAGCTGGAAGAATCCTGCTTAGTCAGTACATCTGAAAACCATCACATTACATTTATTCATTTAGCTGACGCTTTTATCCAAAGCAACTTACAATTGCTATACATGTCAGAGGTCGCACGCCTCTGGAGTAACTAAGGGTTAAGTGTCTTGCTCAGGAACACATTGGTGGATGTGTCACAGTGGGGAATCGAACCCTAGTCTCTCACACCAAAGCATGTGTCTCATCCACTGCCCCATCACCACCCCCACTGAAATAAAGAACTCTTTTCCATGCATACTCGTTTAGTTGTTCAAAGTGGGTTTAAAGTTCTTCTTTGATCCTAGAAATTCTAGTTCCTTTGCAGTTTCTACAGAAAGCTGATTGTGGGTCAGACATCAGGCTGCTGTGAAAGGTGCTGACATGAAGTTTCAGGGAATCATGTGGAGGTTGGTCCTGACTGTCAGTCTGCTCTGCTGGAGATCTGAGGGCCGAGTGACCTGCAGAAATATCACCAGTGGTGAAGTGGACTGGTGAGGCAGCTCATAGTGAACCTTGGTTGATCTAAGGAACATTTCCTCTGAGTCTGAGTCTGATTCTTTCTGACCGTCTGTCATCTGTTTGTCATCAGGTTCATCTTATACAAGGAACCCAATATAACTAAAAATCGAACTGGTCTGAGGTATGTTTACATTGATTCAACAACAAAACTGCCTGCAACTGTCTATGAGAACATCAAGGATCCAGAAGGCGTCCTGGCAAACACCCTGCAGCCTCTCTTTACTTCAATGGTGAGAGTCGTTGGTCCGGTCCTCCTAATACCTGATCTCTGAGAGCAAAATGTAAACCTAACACAGACAGGTTCATCTGAGTCCAGCTGTAAACCACCTGAGTGAGCTTCATTAAAGCTCTAGAACTGTATGGTAACACAGACCCGCAGGGACTGAACCAGAGTGACTCCAGTTTCCAGCTCTCCACCAGCTGAGGGTAAAGATGGTCTGACAGAATATAGCTTTCATAAAACAGATGAAGTGAAAGGTGTTCCTCGTGCCAATGATCCACCTCTGTCTGTGTGACATGGGCAGTGAGGTGAACATGGCAGGTAATAAATGCAGAGTGTGCTGCTAACTGCTGGACTGGCAGGTTCTGAGTTAAAGGTCAGGTTTATTTATCCTGGGAGTCTGATGGGGGCTCATGGTGCTGGACTCAGCCCCTCTCTCTCCACACCCTGCCTGCCTCTCTGCTGTAGGCTGTCAAAGTCAGAAGACTGCACCAAAGACAAAGGGAGTGTAGTGTTCAATATATGTGCATTTGACTCATAACAGTTCAAAATAGCAATATAGCAGCAGGACAGAGGGTCAGTGACCTCCTAAGGGGAGAGCAGTGATTGGTGGTTATGTAGGGATTGAACCCTTCTATAGAATTTGACCTCTGACCCCTTGTTTTGTTACCTCAGAATAGTACTGTACCCTCCTATGGGTTTGACCTTTTACTTTGCAGACTCAAACCCTTCTATGGTACCTAACAGATACTAAACATGTCCTATATAAGCTGTGTTCGATGTACAGAGAGACAGAGTGGCCATCGGGCTGGGTCTCTCTCCAAGCTGCTGCAGAGCTTGTAATTGATGCTGAACTCCTTGATTTAATAAACCTTTATGATCAAGAACAGTGTCAAGTGGGTTTCTTCTCAACACATCATCGCAGCATTATTGTTCAGACACCACAGGAGTATTCAGACAGCGGTCGTCTTCTGCTGCTGAAATTTCCCCTGTAACTTAAATAAAACACAAAGCTTATTAGAGCAACAATGCAAATATTGTGTGATATGAGAAGTAGAAGGTTAAATAATGTTGTGGTTGGACATTGTGAGTAATTCAGACTTGCTGTGTTAATGAATCCTTTTCCTTCTCCTCCTTCTGAACTATTTGTAGTCATCAAACTTTGGATTCATCAGCTACAGCGACCAGCCTCCAGGGAGTAATGCTGGTTCTGACTATGGCCACAGTAAAGGTAAGAAAACAGACTGAGAACATGTCGCCATTATTTATGGGACAGATTCGGAACCAGGTGGAGTGGAAACATATAAACCCAGGCAGACAGACAGCATCAGAGACAGTCAGACAATCTACAGATTTCTATCATCTGGTGTGATGGAGATGCTGCCGGAGAGCGTCGTCTTCCACGTTACTGTCAGTGAGCCTCTGCACCGAGCATCCTCACCAGCTGGTGGCAGTAAAGACTGGAAGAGGAACCAAAACGTCTGTCCTGAATCATTTGGATCTGAGAGAAGATCTCTGCTGGACAGACTAATGAATTCACAGTTTGCAGGTTTATGAGCATGCAGACGGATCATTCAGCGTATTAAAGCACAGGTCCCTAAAACAGAGAGAGCACTCGCTCACGTCAGAAGACTTCTCTGACCTTCAGGGAAAAGTCCAGGTTCACACAGCAAAGGTTTAATGAGCCAGATGATTTAGATTCATTCAGTGTTTTAGTGGAAGAGCTGATGGGTCAGGATCTGACTGACTGAGTGAGTTCAGTCCTCTGATTGGAGCACACTGTAACAGAGGAACATGATCTGTGTGTTGATTGGTCTGTTAAGACGTTCTGGTTATTGAGCTGGCTATAATCTAACTTCAGTGAGTCCGTCCTCAGAGGACCTGAGGCAGAACACTGCACGTTAGCTCACTCCTGTCAGTGTGTGGGTGTGAAGGAGGGCGAAACTGTACAGCATTTCCTGACCTGCTGTCTAACTGTTCTTGTTCCCCAGGAGTTGTGATGGTGGAGAAAGACAAGACAGGAGTCTGGCTGCTGCACAGCACACCACAGTTCCCTTTCAGTAGAAACACCAAGACATTCTGGCCTGACAGCGGAGCGAAAAATGCTCAGATGTTTATCTGTGTGACGTTCCCCTACAAAGAGTTCGAGCAAATAGGTACAGAGCTGTGAAACACAGTGAATGGGAAGATATTCACTGCGGTAGTTGAGTTGAATGTGTCAGTAAATGTGTCACGTTGTTCTGTTTTCAGGTAAACACCTGCAGTACATCAGAGCTTTCCCATTTGACAGTCAGGTTCCAGGCAACTTTCATCCAGAACTGAGGGACGCTGCAGACAAGGTCCAAAGTCCTCCGCCCAAAACGTTCCAGGAGCTGAGATCAGAAAAGGGACAGATTTTTCGCAGCTTTGCTAAACAACAGTCAGACGAGCCAGGAGGTGAGACGTTTGTAACACATTTTTTGTTGTTAATTTTCGTTGATTTTATGAATCCCACCTTTTTCCTCTCTTCCTGTTGTCTTTGTTACTCTGGTGCCAGTAAAGCTGAAATCAAACTCAGGGATAAAATTAGAACTGAATCAGCTTCTGTTGGCTAATGATGGTTTAAAGTCTCTGCAACCTGACCTGAGCTTCTGCTTCTTCTTCTTCTTGCAGTTGGAGATCTTTACGTCACTATTGCAAAAGGACTCGGCAGTGATCTGCATGTCCAACACTGGAGCTGCCAGAATGACCGTTCCTATTGTGGATTTGACCAAAAAGTTTTAAATATTAAAAATATAGAAACTCCTCTGGGTACCTGGGGCACATGTGATCATTCAAAGTGGTGTGTAGCTACAAATCCAAGTACACCTTGGAGCTGTGTTGCTGATATGAACAGGGCAAAAACCCAGTACCAGAGGCGTGGAGGGGCGCTGTGCATTAAGAATGAACAAGTGCAGAAAAGGTTTCTTAAGTTTGTTGTGGGCATTGAGGACTGTTCCACTACAGAGAGGAAGAGGAAAATCAGTTCCTCTGAGTCAGAATGTTTCCTTTTGGAGAAGAGGGAGAAATTCGGTCTTGGTTTTGTTCCTTTCCTGAACAGAGCTCACCTGGCAGGCTCGGACTCTGAAGTCCGGTTCTTCTCTGTCCTGTTTTCTGTGGTGCTGATTTATCTTTTTCAAAGCTGAGGTGAATCCTGTCCTGCTTTTCTGAATCTACGGGCTGATAAAAACAGGTGGACTCACAGCAACACACAGACGTGATGCTGAGCTGAGAGAGCAGAGACACGTCGCCCCAGAAGTCTGGATCCCTCAGAGACCAGATAATATTCACACAGATTCAGCATCACATCGTACACGGGTCTCTCTGAGTCCAGAACCACCATGAACCATCACATCAACATGTTTGGACTGCCGTTACTTAGCTAAGCATGTTTAAAACCTTTTTCCAAACATTTACTGGAACTAAGTCACAAATATTAAATCTAAATATTCTATATAATCAATTTAACAGTCATTTAAAGGAGATATTACTCAACAGTCAATGTTTTTTATAATTAAAACTGATTTTGACTATATGAATCTTTAATCTCTAATGATTAATAACCAAAGAGTACGAATTAAAGAAATTATACTTAATGTGATTTGAACAAAGGATTTTAGATCATCACAAAACTTCATCAGTAAACTCAATATCTCTAATCACAGTATCAAGTTTCTGGTTCAGTTGGGCAACATTAAATTTCTCAGTATATCACAACTATTATTTTCAAGTTAAGAGCAGAACGCGTGTGAAACAAGATTCGGTGATGAAATTACGTAGTAGCATTAGCTACATTAGCAATATTAGCTTTGTCGCGTTAGCTAACTAAGGTGACTGAATTTATTTTCCGTTCTTTCAAATCTGATTTCCGTGTCAACTTTTAAATTCAGAAACTACACTAACACTTTCTATTTCACCATTCACAGGTTAACAACGCAGCCTAAATATAAGATTGTGTTTAACTAGAAAAATGCTCGTCTGAGAGACAATACAGCTGTTTTTTCATTGTTCATTTCATACGAAAATCCTCAGCCAAAACTAAATTAGCCTACAATAAACGACAGAATAATAGAACATGACCCAATTAGAGAGGGGTATCAGTACCAGTATCTTTGTTTTACTATTCTTCAGACCATAAAATGCTTTGATAAAGGCCTAATGTTTGATTTCTATTTGGAAATGCTGTATTTGTGTTTTCTTTAGACCACTTGTCTTTGTGAATGTATTATGTTCCAGGTACAAGATATAAGTCTGTTTTTCACAAATAGCTGAACCAGTCAATGTCTTAAATGTAATGTCTTATTTTAAATCTAACCAAAATAATTTGGTTAGATTTGAGGTGTGGCGATGGAGCAGTGGATAAGACAAAACAAAAAGTTTAAGAACAGCCCACAGGCAAGATGTCCGCATAAGAAAATCCAAGTGCCACATGCAGGGGGGCCGCCAGGAATTTTGGGCCCCATGACAAAAAAAATCTAAATTGGACCCCCTCTGCACAGCTGTTGTCGCCACTTCTCTAGGACCTAAGTGTCCCATCAAAAGCTTTACATAACTCTAATTAAAGGCTTGAAAGTGTCTGGCTTCTTGCAGTTCAATATTAGTACTAGCACAATATTTACTGCTGGTGATACGTGCAAGTCTGCATACAGGAGGCAGTTCACTATTTGCTTCTCAAATAAATTGCCCTTCATGATGGGAATAATAAAATCTGCATCTATAGATATCATTTAACAGCCATAATGATCATTATGTGAAAAAATAGTTTGTCATTAAGAAGTAGTTCATTTTCTTTGTTGTTATGGTAAAAAGAGCAAGAGAGCCAGAGAAATCCCCACAGCCTCCCTGGAATGATGCTAACTCATTAACACAGAGCTGCTCACCTTCCTCACTGGGACAGGGAGGCTGGGCTGCTGCTGACTCATCTTCATTAATCATTAATTTTATTATTATATTTGAAATATATTTATACTCAGTGATCGTTAATATAATGTATAATATAATTTGATATTAGTATACAATTGTCCTAACTTTCCCCCCCTATACGGCGCCCATGGCCACACGTCAAGTCTTTGAATGTTGTGAAACAACTATTTAATTGTTTAACAGCTTCTCTCAGGTGATCTGTGCAGCTGGACACAGGAGAGGTGTCGTCACCAACATGAGCGTCTACGAGGTTGTAACCGCTGACTCGGCATCTGATGCACGTGGGATAATACGAGTAAGTAAATCCAAGTTTTTTAATTTACATTTAATTTACATATAAATCCTGATAACAACTGAAATACAGTCTGGCACATTTACATCCTGCGTGCAAACCCGTATACCTGCAATAAAATCTGATGCCATTGCTGACCGGGTTTTCCTCTCCCTCCTACCCATCCCTGTAATAATAACCCTATGAGCACAGTGTGTAACCGTCTAGCTGTGGTGAATGTGTCTATGCCAATATGCACCATCCTGATGTGTGTGTAACTTCATCTGCACCACCTCCAGCCTAAAGCAGAGAGTCCTGGCTCTGTCACGGTTTCTTTCTGTGTAAAGGGAGCTTCCTTTGCACTAAGGCTTGTTCTACTGGGTTTCAGGCTCTGTGATGAGTTTTGACACAAATTTAATTTTAAAGGGCACTTTAAAATTGAATTGAATCCAGTGACCATCCCTTAACTGGAACAATACTCACTGATTTACTTTATATGTAGTTTCTTTTGGTCAAAGAGCACAAGACAAGGAGGCGTTTGGTTCCGCCAGTGTTCTGCTATCGGTTTGTGGACTATCTGCAGAAACTCAGAGCTGGTCTTTGCCAACGCCAACGGTGCCCCATTTGGAGACGTGCTGGACTGCTTCGAAAAAGCATGGAAGAAATGAGACCTTCTGGAAGGCCGACCATAATGCTCACCCAAAGCAGTTTCAGCACTTCGGTAAATAATGTTCCTTTGTTTTCTTCCTGTTTGGGCCGGTGTCAAGCTGTTTGTTCAAATACTTACAGCTTTGAATGTTACACTTGGAAGAATTTTTTATTTGATGCAAATATGGGACGTGTTCATTTGTTGTGTGTGATTGACTTTATCCAATGTTTAACATCCAAAGTGCTAAATTAAATACTGACTTTTCTCCTCTGAGGGCATTTGCATGAAATTAAGTGCATGAGATTATGCCATCCTTATATCAGTGGTCATTGTTAATGGCACTATAGAAATGAAACTGAATTTATTTTCTTTATACAGATTGGCAGTCCCTTGGGGGCCCAAGAAAAGACACAAGAACACCTCATGATGTGTCATTCAGACTCAACGGCTGAAAAGTTTTACGAAGCTTAGAGCAAACCTTTCAGTTCAGACACAGCTGCTGCTGCACTTACATAGGAGCTTTAGAGTTTCATCTTTCAGCATTTAGAACCGAGGAGGAAGAATCTGAAAGTTCAGAAGATGATGGAAAAGAGTCCAGCAATCCAAAATAGAGAAAACACTAAAACAAAGAGACCAGGAGAACACGAAGCTCCAGAGGGAAACATAGACATTCAAGACACTACACCAACGACTGAAGATAGACTTCAAAATGAAAACAGAGAAGACCTCAGGAACTGTCAAAGAGTCTCTTCATGGCTCCAAACAAGTCTCAGGGAGACCTGTGTCCATCCTGGGGCTCTCCGAGGGTCATACTGAAGAGACCAGAGGACATCAGCAAAGACAAAGCACACAACCAACCCCAGAAGAAAGAGACTGGCAGACTGACAGAGGAAGACGAAGGAGAAAGAAGATGAGGACACAACTGGAGGTGACATAAACACGAGGACTGACCTGCAGAGAAAGACGAAGGAGAAAGAGAATAAAAAAAAGAACATAAAACCAAAGTCAGCTCTCGAGCCCAACATTGCTTTGTAGCTTCTGTTAGGAATGTGGTTTTTGTGTTTGTATGTTTTTGTGTTCATGTTTTTGGTCCTGTGTTTCTCTGTGTTGTCTTGTTCAGTTAGTTCCTAGTCCTGTACGTTAGTTAATATCTTTTGTGTTTACTCCTGGTCTTGTGTTCCCTGTTTAGTCTTGTGTGTTCCCTTTTTCATTTACTGGTTCTGTTTAGCTCTGCATCTCAGCCCTCTGTCGCATTCTTGGTTATTCACACATGTCTGCTTGTCTAAGTGTTCTCTCTGTTACCCCCTGCTGCCTCTCTGCCTCGTTAGCCTCATGTCTGTCACCTGTGTTGCTCCCGACCTGCTCGTTATCCCTGGTATATATGTGGTCTTTCTGTTCAGCTCTTGTCCGGTCATCATTCGGGTTCCCCCCTGTCTGTCGGGTCTCTCTTCTACCAACAAATCAGAGGAAATCGGACAAAAAAAAAAAAGCATACAAGAACCCCTGGATGAAAGAGCAAGGCGAAAGAGGAGACGAGGACACAGAAGGACAAATCGCAGAGAAAGACAAAGGAGATAATATACCACGAGAGCAGAGTCTGCGAGGCAGCTCTTCAGCCCAAGAAGGCTTCGCAACCCCCCAAAATATTGGTCCCCACCAAAAAATGTACTAAAAAGAAAGAGGCCCTAGACCTCAAGAGAGAGTAAGAGAAGATGACTCTAGTGAGAAGTGCTGTGATTTTAGGTCGTTTAACAGTTTCTTAGCTTATTATCTTTAGTTATTGTCTTTCTGTTTCTATCCTGAGCTTCAGGTCGCAGCACTGAGGATTACTGAAATCCCTTCTTGTAAATAAACAGAAACCTGATGACCTTTATTAAAATTATTGTATGTTCTTTTCTTTCATTTCTGGGGACTCGTTGGACAAACTTGATCAGAAAATTGAGCTCAATCAAGGTATATGGGTCACGTTAGCTGGTGAAGTCATGTGCAAATGGATACAACTTTGATGACATTAGCAACTGCTCACCGTTAGCCGCCAAGCTAACGTGACTCTCTGCGTGACTTCCTGTTGTGATTTTTTAATTTTTTTTTTTTTTACTCGACACCACCTGAATCTCGTTTGGTCTGACAGGCTTCAGCACATAAACCTTTATTGTTGTTTGTATCCTTATGTTGGAGGTTATGTTTTGTGGTGTTAGTGGACCGGATGTCGTTAGCTGCCGTGTTGTCGCTGCAGTCTGAGAGGCTCGGGAACGCGCTCAGAGCTGAATCCGACCTGGTGTCTCACATTAAAGGCAGAATAGTGGCTGATGCAAGCAACAAAGCAAACAGGCGTGTGCTTCAGTTCTAAGTTTGAGACCATTGACAATAAGGAAGGAAATTTGATTTATTAAGTGATTTCATTGAAAAACTCCATTACAAATAGCCTTGAAATTTATGTTTTTCAAACTTACTTGTTTCAGTTAAAATAGAAGATGTTGCCAGCAGTGGGATCTGTGCTCCTCGTTCACATCTTGACATCATTCTACAAGTAGTTTAAGAAAGGTCTGAATTCATAGTATAAAGCTGCGTTTCCACCAAAAGTCCCCAGATCTCTTTCCAAGGAACTAAAAGGTTCTTTCAGCCCACTGTGTGTGTTTCCTCCGCAGTCTAAAGACGAATGCGAAGATTAGGCTAATTAACCAGCTGACGTTAGCCGTCAAGCTAACGTAGGCTGTAGGCCTGCACGCCATACAAAGCCGTGCACAGGCAGCATTATTTGTAACCACAAGCAACATTTATGATGACCATCTGATTTGACTGGAACATAATGACAAACTACAGGCTGTGCTTGACCATTAAAGCTCTTTTTTTGTGTGGTAGTATGATGAAGAGACACGTGATAAAGTTTGTTACACATTTAATAACAAACGGGATAAAACCATCAAAAGTTCTTAAAACAGCTCCAGCACAGAGAAAACAAAAATAAAATTGCGACAGTTTGGAAGTTTAATAAAAAATTTCCAGCGACAAGAGCTGCAGATCAGCTGCAGCCTCACGTCTGTCGCCTGAGCGTCGTAATGAGCTGCGCCCGCATGGTCTTCATTTAAGTTGATCGTGTTATCAAAGGTCGAATCATTTTATTGACAGGTATGAGCCTACATATAATTACGCAGGTCCAGACCTGTGAGCTCATAGCTGGTTTGTCAGTAGAACATCCAGCCTGAAGTTTTTCTCTCCGCTGTTCTGACAGCTTTTACTGAGATTGTATCACAATCTGCATTCACGGAGACGACCGTGGATTAGAGGAAATAAATATCGTGCGGTGAAGAGGATCAGGTTTGATCTCCAAAAAGCAAAACAATGGAAAGTGAAAGGCCTGATTATTCACCAGCAATTATAGAAATTACACAGAAAAAAGTCTGGTGAAGATTCAACAACTGCAAATGTGGTTTCCCCACATGGTGGACGTTCAGTATGAGGCAAATGCAACAGGTTTTTAATCAGAGGAAACGTAGACTTCAAAAAATAATAATATAAATATATAAAATTGGGACTTGAAGAATAAAAAAAAATTAAAACAGTGGTTTGTTTGAATTTTAAACAGTTTCTGTAACACGTGTTCAGACACAACGCGGCCTTGCTGAATTACTCGGAAACGGGACAAATGCTAAATTTACATGTAAGATTTTGACATTTATAACCCTCAGAAGACAATCCAAAAATTTGTACTATGATCCACAAGTATTTCAC